ACCTTACATCTCACTTTTCATGGTGGCAACTGGCAGTGTCTCTCTGACTCAGCCTTCCTGTTCCCAGAATTTTCTTTTCTGTTTGTTCTGCCTATACTTCCTGTCTGGCTACTGGCCAATCAGCATTTTATTTATACAGAGTGATATCCACAGCACTTCCCCCTTTCTTTTTTTTCAAAAAGGAAGGTTTTAACTTTTACATAGTAAAATTACATCTAACAAAACAATTATCAAGCAAGAATTACAGTTACAATATCTAGTCTATTTATTATCTCTAGTCTATTTGTATTTGGCAAAATTAAAGAAGATATTCTGTCTATCCTATATTTGTGAGTCTAAGGTTTCATATCTAACTTATCTTTTATCATAACTAAGGAAAATTATAACTATCTAGTCTTCAACTACATCAAACACCGCAGAAGGATATACCTGAGAAATGGGAGAAGGATGCAAGCAACTTTCAGGAGTCTTGTGAGAGTAGACAGAGACAGCTGGCAGCCTGGACAGCCATTGAAAGTTTTTTTTGTAAAGTTGGGGCATCTGTCTTTAGCCCACAGGCCTAGAGTCTCTCAGTCACTTCTCTCTGTGTCTTGTAGAACGTCTGGTACTTTTCTCTGCGAAGCAGAAACCTGAAGGACCATTTTGCCAAGCAAAGTTCAGTGGTCACCTTCCTATGGGTCTTGCATGTCCAGTCAACCAAGCAGTCCCGGTAAGAATAGCTTCTTGCCCAAATGGCTATTTTTGCCTAGGTGAAGAAACACTCTGTATAGAGTGTCTTCAATGCCCATCCTCCTCTCTGAAGTAAATTAGTGCTGTTAGGAGCAGACATGTCTCATTGTCCAGAAAGTCTAAATTTTTAAAACATTTTAAATGCCATATTCTGTAGGTCTTTGAAGTATTTGAAGATTACCTACCTAATTGAATTATATCTATGTATACCTAGAAAACTTAACTAACATGGCTATAAGTTTGACTATCATAGAAGACTAATTGTTAATCTGTACTTGTTTATTATCCATTACAACATAAATGAGTTAAAACATAATACCTCAAACGAGAATAGAAATATATATACAATATAACAAAATTTAGTTTAAACTTGTATTAATAAACTAGGTCTCAGAAATCTAAGATGGGAGGGGAAAGCACAGAGGATTTTCAGTGCAGCATAATATCTACACAGTAGTGTAATGATGGATACATGTCATTTTACACTTGCCCAAACTCATAAAAGGATCCTCATAGAATCATGTCTAAGGTAAAGGATGGCCTTTGGGTGATTAGGACATATCATTGTAAGTTAATCTGCTTTAAGGAATATATGCATATTTGTGATCCAAGGCACACTTAATTTATTTTTATAACTTCCTCTTCATTTTGCTGTGAACTCAAATTTGGCATGAAAAATGCCTCTTAAAAACAGAATAAACTCCTGGTATGTGCGTGAACACAGCCGATTCTTGGAAATGTCCTGCCCGATAACGATAGATACAAAAAGGGAACATCAACTACATGCGTCCATCTATGCAATGCCCACAACCTGGCGAATCTAAAGAAATGGGAATAGATGTGTGGTTGGCGGCCTGGAGGAAAGGAGAGGGTTGTGGGATGTTGCATTTCCCTTTAGGATAATATATTTTAGATTTAAACTATGGGACCGTTGTATGATATGGTACCCGTAGACAAAACAAAAGCAGTGAGCTATATGTTTTTAATAGTTAAACTTGCAAATCGTAGGTCTGTAATTTTTAAAGGGGTAGTACCTATTTTTTTTTCAGTCCCTAGTCCTTGGCTTATGGCATTTGCTAATACAAAAACAAACCAACAAATGAACCAAACCTCTCAGATCACAGAAGTAGCATCATTTTCAGTTGGGTTGCGTAGGTACTGAAGTTCTACATGCCTAAGTCATGTCTTAGAAGACGAAAGCAAGTAGGAAGGACTTCAGTAAATGTGTAACAGTGGGTCCTCAAAGGAACAGACTTATCAACACTCCCAACATGACTCATTTCAAGCCACCCAATATCACTGAACATGAGGCCAGGAAGAGTTGTAAGCAGTATTTAGTGACCCAGAGCTGGCAAAAGCCAGGTCCAACCCACCTGGGGGGGGAGGGTGGGCGGATTCAAAGCCTTTGAGCTGCAAGAGGAGCGGCGGCAATCAGTGTCTGTCTGCACAGGTGTGGACTCTAATGAGCAAAACATCAGCCTCCTACAGGCACCTGCTGTTCCTGATGGAAATGCCGGGACTTTCTCTCAAAGATGGCATGAGAGAAAAAGAAGAAAAAAATAAACCAGCCACTGCCTTTGGTCACCGCTGTCCTGATGCAGGCAGGTACCTGCTCTCTAAAACCTACAGATACATCACAGAAAGTCAATACAAATGAGAGTTCTGCTTTCCGAAGCAGAAACTCACTTGTAGGAACACTGTGGCTGGAGCCCTGATCCCTAAGCACTGCCAAATTCCTCTGCTGTGTTCCTGAGTTAATTTTCTACTACCTACCCTGAGTCAGAGGATTGTGCTGCCCATCACACACCTGCTTGTTTATTGCTCCAGGTGCCTGGGCTTCCAGAGTACCATCTGAAGCAATTTCAGAAATGCATTTGCAGTGCCTGGGTGATGCTTTCTGACGGCATTGTCCCAGAAAGTATTCATTTAAAACTCATAAATGTCTCCAGAACCTATTAGACCTGAATGGGGACCAATGGCTCAAAACACAATGCTAACCAGTTTACCCGGGTCCTCTGATTGCATTAGTGGTTTCAGATGAATCCCTCTGGTACTGTGCTTGCAGGTGTGACTATAAGTGAGCACCACTTGAGAAAAAGCTAAGCTATCAATAATGAAAGTCCCCATGGCCATCAAACAAGAGTCCCAGCAAATGGAGAAAGAACTCTGCGCAGGCACACGCACGGTGAGTTCAGCCTACTGATGACGTGCCGGCCCGGCCGGAACTTCAGCCAAGCACCACCCAACTCAGGCAGGAAGGCGGGGAGGAAACTGCGCTTCTGGCTTCTGTATAACGACCATACCAGGTTTCTACAAGAACATAAACACCACACGCTCCGCATGCAACAGAACTCTTCCTTACCTATTCACGAGCTAAACAATCCTGACAGTGGGGTGAAACACGAAGCAGGACCGTGATAAGCCAGAGACATGTTAATTAATGGTGTGTCTTCCTAGGGATGTATTGCTTCTGTGCGTTCACATCTTAAATAATTGAGCAACCTCTTGAGGCAGTCTTTCGAGGCTGTTTTCACTGGCAACCGTGTTTGAAACAATTAGAACGGAGCAGTTCTACTCACTGGAATAGTGTGAATATAGACCTTGACGCCACAAATTAATAGTGTTTCAACTAGGCTGCGAAAATAGGATTTCCAGCCTAAATCGACTGAAAGGGATTTGATTTTGGAAGAAGCGGGGGGAAGCAAGGGCTTGACTCAGGATCTCTGGATGGCTACCCCCCCCACCTCTACTCCCCACCCCCTACCCTGATTGCTAGTCTTCAGAATGTGTGCTAATGGAAATTATACCAAGCTGAAGTTGCCTTGTAGAGATGGAGCATTTTAAATCATTGAGAATTTCTACAGTTGCTTTTTAAGTGTAACCTTTTGTCTCTTCATTTGTCAATTTATTTTTTTCAAAAAGTACCTAAAGTCATACCAGCGGACAAGCCTATCTCACAGCCCGGTGAGGAAAAACCTGGCAGGCAATCTCTTTCAAAGTACTAGTAATGCTAGCTTTTTCTACCTAGAAAACCAGGTGGAAACTATTTGTATCTTTGCAGTAAAAAAGCAAAGACAGGGAAATGCACAAAGGCAGTGCTGTACTTTAAGGGCGGTTCCCCTACGTTGACACCCAGCGGCATTCGGCAAAATGCACAGCTAGTAGACGACCCCAGTCCTCCAGGAAAGGCAGAGGAAGTGTTATGTCACACAGGATCCCATCTTACACCTGCTCCTGCGTTTCTAAGGCCAAGAGTGACAACAGAGAAGCTGCACACGATAGCACAGGGTAAATGGCCCAATTATCTCAGTAAAGGGCTGGAAAGCGGATTCTGTGAGCTTGCAGGTTAGGGAATCTGTTTTGCAGCTCCTGAACTCCGCTTCCATAGCATGGAAACATACAGACAGTGCCTAGACAAAGATGTGTAGCTAGAGTTTTCCTGCCTGGCCCACAGTCAGGATAAATCTCTGCCACCTGCCAGTCCCACAACCGCTCAGACCCAACCAAGTAAACACAGAGACTTATATTGCTTACAAACTGTATGGCCGTGGCAGGCTTCTTGCTAACTGTTCTTACAGCTTAAATTAATCCACTTTTATAAATCTATACCTTGCCATGTGGCTCATGGCTTACCGGCATCTTCACATGCTGTTTCTCATCATGGCGGCTGGCAGTGTCTCTCTGACTCAGCCTTCCACTTCCCAGCTTTATTCTCCTCCTTGTCCCGCCTACACTTCCTGCCTAGCCAATGGCCAATCAGTGTTTTATTTATTGACTAATTAGCAACACATTTGCCATACAGAACATCCCACAGCACTTCCCCCCCCCCTTTTTTTTTTTCAAAAAGGAAGGTTTTAACCTTAACAAAGTAAAATTACATATAATTTGGGAATTTGGGCGTAGCTTCTCTTACTACTTCCTGCTGGAGGGGGGCGCTGTATCTTACGGGGAAACAAAGAAAATTTTAGGATTATGGAATAGTCCATGAGGCTGTATCGTCTGAGCCAGTTGCTTTGAAACCATTCTGGATGTTGGATCATCTGGGCCATGGTGTCATCGGAGACCTTTCAGGGGGTCTTGGCTGGTCAAACCTGATGTATCTTAATCTGGAACAAATCCATAGCCTCTGGCTTTCTGTGGGAACAAAAGCAGAGTCTCCTTTCCAAAGCAACATATCCTTATATCCAAATTTTGAAGTCAAGTTACCTTTAAAATATACATTTTGGCATAACTCAACAGCTTTTACAATCAAATCTTTTTCTGCAGTTAAAAATTCCAGAGACAACACAATCCAGATTCTCTGTGTAATATTCATCTTTACGTGGCTTATTTTTTATATTAATATTACTGTCTCTTTAAAGACTTTATTTTTTAAAGCTATGTATTTGTTTATATAACTCTATATATCACCATATATCACCTTTTTTGTCTCTTTCAAGCCTACGTATATTTTACACACATTGTAAACTATTACATCTGAATCTGTCTTATTGTGAAATCTATTGCTTTAAACTGCAGCAACTGTGACTGCTGGCTCCGCCCACCTCAGCTTCCCAACATGGTGGTGATTTACTGTCAGCTCTGGGAGCTATCGTGGGTCTATGCTTTTATTTAAGCACCGTGTAGCCCAGAAACCTCTTTTTTTGTTTTGTACCTGCAAAGGCTAAATCCACCATGCAGCTTAATGTGCCACTTGCAAAGCACTCATTCCCGCCATACTGCAGGTCGAGCGAGCACGCCAGGAACCTGCCAGTAGCTCAAACCAGCAGCTGCCGCTCATTTGAGAGAGACAATTAGGAACTGTTTTTAGCTCTGTTTTAGAATCTTTTTTCTCAGTTTTTAGGTGGAAACTCTTGCCCCACGTTGGGCACCATTTGTAGCTAGAGTTTTCCTGCCTGGCCCACAGTCAGGATAAATCTCTGTCACCTGCCAGTCCCACAGCCGCTCAGACCCGACCAAGTAATCACAGAGACTTATATTGCTTACAAACTGTATGGCCGTGGCAGGCTTCTTGCTAACTGTTCTTACAGCTTAAATTAATCCACTTTTATAAATCTATACCTTGCCATGTGGCTCGTGGCTTACCAGCATCTTCACATGCTATTTCTCATCATGGCGGCTGGCAGTGTCTCTCTGACTCAGCCTTCCACTTCCCAGCTTTATTCTCCTCCTTGTCCCGCCTACACTTCCTGCCTAGCCAATGGCCAATCAGTGTTTTATTTATTGACTAATTAGCAACACATTTGCCATACAGAACATCCCACAGCAAAGATGCATGGCTATGCTTTGATAAAACACTATTTATTAACAGAAGTAGTGGGGAGCCAGGCCTAGGGGCACATGCCCATACTCTAACAGTTGGGGGGCTAAGAAAAGAGGATCAAGAATTTCAGGCCGCCTTGGACTCACAGGAAGACCTTATCTCAAAGAGGGCGGACGGAGGAAAACATGAACTTGATTTGGCATGTAGATAAGCCATCTTTTGATGACATGTGATGTCTATAGGGTGTGGCATTAGGAGCCTTTAAACAATTCTGCTTACCACTGAGCAGACATTTCTCGTTGTTTCATGGCAGCCGACTGTTCGGCAGATTCTCAGAATTAAAGGGCTAGAAGATGATAACAGAGTATAGAACTGGATTACAAGTGGTAATTATAAATGGTGAGCTTCAATAAAGAACAATGAGAACAAAATGAATCAGATGATAATAATGGCAAAAACAGAATTTCTTGAATTCGGACTGCCATTTTATTTTCATGTATATAGCCCGGAATTTATCAGTATCTGGAATCGAATGAATAGCCACACTGAATATATGCATGCACATTATATACAGACATCTAAAACGCTAAGTGAATGCAAACTATGCTTATGTCGATACCCTATGCAACACACCTCATTTTCAATTCTGAGTTTAAATATTCAGTGATTACATAGCTTACACTGGAGACATCCTCTTTCTGATTAATGATAACTATTAAATTTCCTAAAATCTGAGCTATCAGAAGCATACCATTCTTAATGTTAAAACAATAAAAATTAAAAATCCAATAATTACCCCCAAGGGGTTCTTAATAGTATAAGAGTTGACCGTGTGCAATAAAGAGATTTCTTTTTAATTAGAACCTCTGTCTGAAAGTTATATTTCCTGCTGGGTGCAGATTCTTTTCCCCCTTAGCCTGCAGGGAAACACAGGAATAGAAACAGATCCTAGGCCAGGCAGGACATGCAGCTAGAAAGCAAGCTTTGAGAGAAGGTAAGCAACCAAGTCTGTTCATAGGGCTTATCTGAGAGATCCCAAAAACATCATTTCACAGATGTTTCCAGTGCAAAATGAAAGCAGTGTTTCTCGTATTTTAATACAACCTAGACAGGTCTGTTGAAAACATAGCCACACATAAGCCCATCCCAGACTTAAAAGATCTGCACCTCTTGAGACTTGGGGACCAGGAAAAAAAATACTTATGTGTGTACATATATACACATATATACATCTATACATCTACATACACACACATCTATATATACATACACACATTTTTTTAGCCTAACGAGATTTCTAGATAATTCTGATGAACACAGTCACGTGAAAACACACTAAAGGATAATAATATGGAAGTAGTTAAGACACAACATCCCCTTGTCATACAAGAACAACCTATGTTGCAGAAGGGGGAACCCAAATCAGAGGCAAAAGCAAAAGGGATCAGGCTGTAGTAAAGCAGAAGCCTGTGCATTTATATATAGACATCTAAAATGTTAACTAAAGGTAAACTATGCTTCTATGGGTACTTCATACAACACACTTAGTTTTCAATTCCGAGTTTCAGTATTCGGTCATTTCTTTGCCATTTTTAAAACATCTCAATTAAAGTAAATATAATCATTCCCAGCACTGCTATTTACATTTCCAGCACTAAGGGCCTGAGTCTTGAGAATCAAAACTAGGAAGCATAGGTTGGGTACATTGTGTGGAGAGCTCAGGCAGACTCCAGCACTAGACCATATTTTGGACTGAAACTGGGGAAGCCGGGTGAGCAGGTGCCCAGGTCTCCATGAAAGAAGGACCCATTGGTTGGGCCCACACTAAAAGGAGCTGGAGTTCCCTCTGGGGCTGCCACCGAGGCCCTTGCAGGCCAAGTGTCAGAGCTGATTTGCAGGCAGACAGTGAGCAGCCCAGGCTGTGCTGCTGCTGGGCTGTGTGGAGCACCAGCTGTGAGGTTGGGTCCAGTCACAGCTCAACTACAGACCTGAGGAACTCCTAGGCCTTTGGGAAGCCGATTTGAGGTGTAAGCCTTTCCCTGGGTGCTGCATGAACTTCTGTTTCTTAGTATCTCATGGCCCGACACGAAAGGAAGCAACGTATCTTTTCTCCACTGGTCATTCTCTCCACAGAACAAATTAACCTTTTGTTTAAGACAGGGTCTCACTAAGTTGCCCTGGCTGGCCTGCAGCTCACTGTGTGGACAGGCTGGCCTGGGATTCATAGAGATCCAAGTGCCTCTGCCTCCCGACTGCTGGAATTAAAGACACACCCCCACACCCTGCTAGCAAATTAACTCTTAAAAACGTTGCCTAAGCAAGATCGTTCGATGTCAGCAATGAGATACCTGCTCAGAAGCATATGCATAAGTATGCGCATGCGCGCACACACAAGCCACACATGCTCAGAGGAATACACAGAAGCACACACACAGTATTTTCTGGGTTTATCCACATGAAGCTCAGCTGGGCATCTTTCCTACGTTTCCACTTGCAGTCATCATTTTCAGTCGAGGTTTCGGTGAGGACCCAACTTGATGCACGGTGTCAGCTGCCACCTCAGCAGGAAAGAGTATGACCCCAAGGTTAAAGGGCAACATCCCATGTTGTGCTCCACTCTCCACTGAGCCCAGCGGAAACACAGCAGTAAATTTCTTTGTTGGCTCCAAACACTCAGTTTCCTCATCTGGAAATGGGGGATGATGGGACGGGAGATAAGCATTAATTAATGTTTGCGAAGTATTTTCGAGATGCTGAGGAGAGCAACAATGTATTATTTCTCTCGGCATGGGCAAACAAGCACTTGGTACGAATCCAGCTGAAGCATGCTGAGTTAATTACCCAGAAGACTTGAAGCTGCCGTATGAAATCTATTTTGTACTTTCTGGCCCCAGGCACGTGAGCACCTGTAGTGTTTGACAGCGAATCTCCAAAAGAAGTAAGTGGACAAATTGGGCCAAAGAATAGAAAGTGGTTCACAGAGACTCCTTTTGCCTTGAGGTAACTCCATTTGGGAAGAAGAAAAAAAAAAAACTTAAAAATCGTAAATATGGATAAAGCTTGGGTTGCACAGACAACGTGTCGTGACCAACAAAAGGCACAATTTATCAAATGATGAAGCCCAAGATGTCAAACCCGAAAAATATTCATCCACACACCAGTCTTCTCTGTACCTCAAAGACTGTTCAGTTGCTAGTTTTTAAACATTTCACAAAATCCCATAGAAGCTTGGATCAAAGCTAGTGGCTTGATAGACAAGGCAGAGCTGCCAGCGAGAGTCTGCTTTCTCAGAGAGCTGGGAGTAGCTCGGTCGGTGGGCTTCAGGGAAGCCTGTTTAAATATCACGTGGAAGCCAGATGTTTAAACAGGAAGGCCTGACTTCCGAGACTGTGACAAGAAAACGCAAGCAACACAGACTAGGCTAGCAGGAGGGAGTGTCTCTCTGGAAAGGCCACAAACCAGCTCTCCTTTTCTCTGCCATTTAAATCAGACTGAAGAGGACAGTTCTGAAGCAATGCATGATAGAAAAGCATTTACCAGCTCCGAAGGCCTTCTACTTCGGGGATGGAAGGTGGCAGACACCTTCCAAGTCCTCTTGGGTTCAGAGGAAGTTCGCCTTGCAATAAGAAAGCCGGGAAGAGCTGATAATCACAGCACTTGGGAGGCAGAGCCAGGAGGATCTCTGTGAGTTCGAGGCCAGCCTGGTCTACAGAGCGAGATCCAGGACATGCACCAAAACTACATAAAGAAACCCTGTCTCAGAAAAAAAAAAATCTCTTTCAGCCATTTGAAATTCTTCTTTTGAGAATTTTCTGTTTAGCTCTTTAGCCCCCATTTTTTAATTGGATTTTTCAGTATTTTGATGTCTAGTTTCTTGAGTTCTTTATATACTTTGGAGATCAGTCCTCTGTCAGATGTGGGGTTGGTGAAAGGTCTTTTCCTATTTTGTAGGCTGTCTTTTGGTCTTATTGACCATGTCTTTTGCCCTACAAAAGCTTCTCAGTTTCAAAAGGTCCCATTTATTAATTGTTGCTCTCAGTGTCTGTGCTACTGGTGTTATATTTAGGAAATGATCTCCTGTGCCAATGCATTCAAGAGTATTTCCTACTTTCTCGTCTATCAAGTTCAGTGTAACTGGATTTATGTTGAGGTCTTTGATCCACTTGGACTTGAGTTTAAAGAAATGCTCAACATCCTTAGTCATCAGAGAAATGCAAATCAAAACAACTCTGAGATACCACCTTACACCTGTTAGAATGGCCATGATCAAAAACACTAATGACAGTCAATGTTGGAAAGGATGCGGAGCAAAGGGAACACTCCTCCACTGTTGGTGGGAATGCAAACTTATACAACCACTGTGGAAATCAGTATGGTGGTTTCTCAGAAAATTGGGAATCGATCTACCTCAAGACCCAGCCATACCATTCTTGGACATATACCCAAGGAATGCTCAATCATACCACAAAGATACATGTTCAACTATGTTCATAGCAGCACAATTCGTGATAATCAGAACCTGGAAACAACCTAGATGCCCGTCAACTGAAGAATGGATTAAGAAAATGTGGTACATATACACAACGGAGTACTACTCAGCAGAGAAAAACAATGACATCATTAAATTTGCAGGCAAATGGATAGAACTAGAAAATATCATCCTGAGTGAGGTAACCCAAACCCAGAAGGACAAACATGGTATGTACTCACTCATAAGTAGATTCTAGATATAAAGCAAAGAACAATCAGAATGCAAACCACAGAAGCAGGGAGGTTATATAGCAGGGGGGACCCTAGGATGACTGTGGCTTATAATAAGTTTCGGCTTTACTCAATCATTGGGCAAGCCTCAGTGAAACATTTCACTATTTGGATAAGAATTTGTACTGTATCAAGCTAATAATAGAAAATAAATAATAAATAAATAAAAAGAAAAAAGAAAGAAAGAAAGCAGGGAAGAAAGTAAGGAGAGAAAAGGCCAACAGCTGAGCCAAAGCTCTGGCACTTTGGTCCTCAACCAGAGGAGTTGGTGTCTCCTGAATCTTGTTAGAAATGTGAACTCTCAGGGCCCATTACAGAAACTTAGGGGTAGGACTAAATTGACAATCCCTGATAGATAATTGCAAGCTGCTATCACCTGAATTTGGATGTTCTGTATCCATGAAAAATGTCATGCAGCTTGACTTATAGTGTGGGAAAGCTAACATTGGTAGAAAACGTCAGTGAAGAACACCCCTATGAGTCAGGTGACTTAAGGTTTTGTAAATGCGACAGTTTAGTGCGTAGGACCTGTAATAAATAAAATGAGACTTATTTTTTTCTCTTTGAGAATCATCTTTCTATCACCAAATAACAAAACAAATAAAAAGGTCACAGTTACAGTCGTAGCCACCCACTGTAATCCATCCTCATTTCTATGGCCATCCAGTCACACTATAGTAGATACTCCAGATGTTTCAAATCTCTTCTTTGGTACATTAGTAGACAGGGTGTGCACCTCTTCCAGATCTTGACTATGAGTGATTTTCAAGTATCCTCTTCCACATTCCTCCCCAGTCCAGGTTGGCTGTGATGGCAACATGAGGAGGGCCTGAAAGGCACACTTTCAAGCTGTCATGGTAGTCAATAGCCTCGATTTTTCCAATTGATGCCTGGTGAAGGGCTCACCAGAACCAAATTCCAACCCTGGATATGAGATGAGAAAACAAAGAAACAACAACAAAAGTCGCATATCTTGCTATTCAGGTGATCAATGGATTTTTTTAATCTTAATTTATCTGCCCTAAATAATATACTAGTCCACAGGTCCGTGATACCACAGGCCCCTCTATAACTGCACCTGAACAGAATGATCCTCTCAAGTAAAGGGTGTAAATCTGAAAGCTTGATACTTTTTAGAAGTCTTTTGTTAGAATGTGCGCACACACAGTCAAAAAGAAAAGAAGAAAGGGTAGAGGGGGTGATAGGCTGGAGAGATGACCCAAGAGTTAAGAGCACTTCTTTCAGGAGACCAGAGTTCGGTTCCCAGCACCCGTAAGTAGACTCATAAATAACTGTAACTCCAGTTCCAGAGGATCTGGCACCCTGTTCTGACTTCCATGGACACTGCACACACACAGTGCACAGACATACATGCAGGCAAAACACCCATAGACATAAAATAAAAATAAATCTTCAAAGAAATAGACTGAGATGAATATTGCAGGTCTTATTTGAACATACATCTATTCATTATGTACATTCATGCTGACATTAATGTAACAAAAAGACACTGAGTTCAAGGCAATATATTCCCTTCCTTTAATAATTCTGACATGAAACATTTCTACAAGAAAGTCTATTATTGCCTCGGCTTCTGCATTTACCTTTCCAGAACAGAAAAAGAAAGCCATCTGTGATTATACTGCACCATTAATGTGATATTTATTCATCTAATTTTAATACACCTCTAAGTCTAAATACTAAACTTGAGTCTGTTCAGCATAATTGCTTTTACATGTCATGCTGGGTCCTAAAAATAGGACCCAACATATTCCTGCTGAGTGTGTACATTTATAGTGCAGTTTTATTTTAACTTCTTCATCTCGTTGATTCAGGTCTGAGGTTGACTTGCCGTGTGAGTTCAATGAAGTTATTGTGACACCATATACTCAGTTATTAAAATGAGAAATATGAGCTCTGACAACTTTGATGAAAATGTTTGTAAAATAGCTGGCACTCTGGATTCCTTGGGAAAGAGTAACAGACAGAGTGGATTCTAGGTTTCTTAAAATCAAGGAGGCACCCCATCTCCCCACACAAGCACAGTCCCTGACTTCACAACTTACTCATCACACCCTTATGTTAGAGCGATGGGGACTTTCCTACATTCCTGGGTTCTGAAGTCAGACTAGCTTGGCTTGAAATCCTGTCTGTACCACTTACTACCTCTGTTGCCATAGAAATTTCTTAACCGGTCTGGACTTCATTGTTCTTAAGCACAGAATACATCACTGCACCTTTCTGAGTTCTTTCACCAAATTCAAAAAGTAAAATTTCCCCCAGCAGCCAGCAAGGCTCTTTACAACCTGGCACCAGCCTACCTCCATAGCGCATCTCTTCCTTGTCCACCCCAACCTCTGGTGTCTGTTTCCCATATATCTATCCTCTGTTGTTCGGCTTCTCAGGTTGTCTGGGAAAAGAAAAAAAAAACTCCTTAGTCTTAGAAAAAGAAAAACCATCATCCTCAGCAAGATACTGTCATCCACCTCTGGTCTGAGTGTTGCTGGGCTGCTGGGCTTGGGAGGCAACACACACCTTCCCAATGCGTTCTTCCTCTCAACTATAATTACCCATAATCACTTCATTTATTTCTCTTTTTCACCCTCAAACTGGGAGGACCTAGAAAGCAGCCATTTCATCCTCTTTCCACCCTAGGGCCTTTGCACCCGCTGTTTGTTTGGCTTGGGCCATCCTGCTGCCGAGAGCCACATGGTGCACTCTGTCCAATGTCACCTTTGCCCTCCGAGAGCCACATGGTGCACTCTGTCCAATGTCACCTTTGCCCCGAGGCTTCATCTCAACTTAGCGTTTAGGTCTGAAACTGACTTCTCTCTTGACCCCCTTGGCCACACCCTTTAACCTTTCATGGCATTTCTGACTCAGTGAACGCCCTCTGTAGCACAGTGTAATGCACTCATTTTAGGATTTTAGCTTATTATCTAGAATGCATGCTTCTGGAGAACAGGGATCTTTGGGTATTATTCACTGACAAACTAGAACCTTTTAAAGCAGCACTTGGCGCATAAAGGAGTGCCCAGAAGCTCTTGGATGGCAAAGTGGATGAGTAAATGTTTTCATATCAAAAACCTAAAAGCTCAATAATTACTGATTTATTAGATTAATGAATGACTATCTGACCTAGACTGTTCTCATGCCCAAGAACTAAAGGAAATAAAATTAAATCCACCAGAAGCAGAAATAGGCCACAGGTTTTATTTTCCTTTGCTTTTCCTTGAAAGAGGCTTCAACTAAAACCATGGATCCTAAAGCCAGATAAAACTGGATTCAATTCCCAGCCAACACCTTCTTCGGCCCTGTTACCTACTAATCCCTAGTCACCTTCGTATAAAATAAGTTCAACAATAGTATCTACTATCTACAGCTGTTGTTCAGAAACAGAAGTAATACATGGAAGCATTGGACCACAGGCCATGGCACACTACAGTGATTTTAAATACTTATTGTGTATGTTCTGTGTATGTGTGTGAGTCTGCTTGAGTTTTACATGAATCATGTGCACACAGTGCTGCTGCCCACAGGTGCCACCCAGATGCCCTGGAACAAGAGTTACAGGTGCTTGTGAGCTACCTCATATGGGTGCTGGGAACCAAATCTGGGCGCTATGGAAGAACAGCAAGGGCTCTTAACCACTGAGCCATCTCCCCAGCTTTTTAAGTAGTACCTGCTATTCCAAGTGCCTTCATGGTACTAAGAAGATCTTGTAATACTCTTTTAACTCTTTAAGAGCCACCTTCAGGAACCCGGATTCAACAGCAGCGGGGAGGCTAACATCTCATCTCTGTTCCTCCAAGTGTGAACTTGTGTCTCTAGAACTGACCAGGCTCCTGGTCATGCTGGGTGGTAGAAAGGGAGGGTCAAACACACACAGCTCTTTCATATCCGCTTAGCTGGCTGCCTTTTTCTTCTCACCAAACACACCGGATCCTCAAAGCAACAACAAACTATGCATCTTGCTCAAGTGTATTTATGCATTCTTTCCTTCACTGATTCATTAACTCCTCATCATTGAATAGTGACGACCAATGCTGACCCTTATGCTAAGCATGGGTTACATATCAATGGATAAATCAGACAGCCTGCCGTAAGGACAACAGGCAATAACTAAAGACGCCAATATACAATCACAAACAGTGCTAAGTGCACTGAAAGATGTAAGAAGCATATCATAAGAGACGATAACAAAGGTAGAGATGGATCCAATCAAATAGCACAAAGAGAGGTTACCTTAGAACTGAGAAATGAGACATGTGACTGTTTCATACCATTCTTCTTTGCTTCTCAACAGAGCACAAGTTCTTTGATGGCGTGGAAGGTCTTAAGTCACATCTGCAAGGACTGCAGAACCTGAGCAAGGCTGAACGTACCTTGGTTTGTCAACAATGTTTACCTAGTTGGTTTTTACTGTCATTTAACATATGCAAGACAGAATGAAAAATAGTGAGATTTCTGAAGTCTGTAATCATATGAATGTTACAAAAGTTTAAATATAGTATTCAGTCTAGTGGCTTTTTAGAAGGGTCTTAAGGTTTTAGCTCAATAATTAGAAACAAATTTTACTTCTCACAATAAAAATGGAACCATCACTTCTTTTAGTTTTATGATTGTGGCTAGTTGCTGAGAGTATAGCACAGATCCAGCAGGGAGGAATATGCTCCAGGCAAAACATCAAACTTGTAATCTTCAAGGGAACTGACATTAAAGGCAGGTGACATAATAAGACAGAGTTTTGCTATGGCCATTGTTTTGTTTTGTTTTTTGAACATAACAGATAGACTTCTATTTAGAGTTTTTGGTTTATGAAAAGATACAGGGATTTTGGCACGGCTTCAGGTTTTTAGCATGTGTCTGTAAAAAAAGAGAAGAAAAGAACAAAAAAAAATAGCCCAATATGGCATATCCCTTCTTTTTTTGTTTTTCTCTCTTCTGAGAATAAAGACAAACACAATTTAGACTCACTGAGAAGAACTGCCTGGCACTGTTCATTCATGTTTTCAGCTGTAATTAAGCATCTAATGCTCCAGATGGCTAAGTATTCAAAATTAGTACATTTCAGCTCCGCTGAAACAGTTTATTTTGAAATGTTCAAAATACTATCCAGTGGTGCTTAACAACAGCATAAGGGAATCTTTCAAAATTTGGGGAGGTTTATTACAATCTATGCTGGCTCAGAAAATGGACACTTCGACACTTCTGGCTCTGCCTCCTGCCTTTCCTGTTGACCTTTGCGATGGTTACTACTGACTCCCAACTTGACTGAATCTAGATTCTTCTAGGAGGCAGGTCCCTGGGGATATCTTTGAGGGAGTTTCTAGACTGTGCTAAAGTGGGAAGGCTCACCTTAACTATGGACCTATCTAAGGTTCAGCCTGTTCGTGGGCTAGGGTCCCAGACTTAATAAAAATGAGAAAGTGGGCTGAATATTATTAGCTATTATTAGTTATTAATAATTATTCTTTTCTTCTCTGCTTTCTGACAAGGGATATAATGTAACTGGCTTCCTAAAAATTTTTGCTGCAATGGCTTTTCCACCATAATCAAATCCTTTCTTAAATTCTTAGCTTTCCCAGGTAATGATATCATCTCACTCACTCTACCAGCGCTCACTTCCTTGACTCTTGACTTCACATCGAAGGAACACTTAAGCATGTGGCTCTGGCAGACCTTGCCCTGTCCCCCATTTCCTCTGCCTTGCTAAAAAACTGTTAAATTACATCCCCAAAGCTAGCCTCCAAGGTCTATTCCCTTATTTGCCCCCTTCCTCCTCCTGAGGCTGACCACCAAGGTCCCGCCGCTATAAAAGTATTGAAGTCTAGCAGTCAAAATCCCCCTTTGGTTCATCTAATTTACATGCCCAATTAAAATTAAACACCTCGTCCTAACATGGAGTTTCCCCCTTTACTTTATTTGTTTGTTTGTTTGGTTGGTTTTTCGAGACAGGGTTTCTCCATATAGCTTTGTGCCTTTCCTGGAGCTCACTCTGTAGCCCAGGCTGGCCCTGAACTCACAGAGATCCACCTGCCTCTTCCTCCCCAGTGCTGGGATTAAATACGTGTGCCACCACCGCCTGGTCCCCCTTTACTTTTATAAACCACCATTTGCCTATGGGCCACAGCTGTCTCCTCTCTATCCAAAGGCAATCCTTTGCCCTCTAGGACAAATACCCCTGCCCCCTTCCCCTGATCCTTTCTGCCTTCTCCCTAGTCCTCTATCTCCTGTGTTTGTCTCTCGTTCCCTGCCCTTTGTTGCTCTGGGGCAAATAAATCTCCTCCATGCTGAGAACTTGGTCTTGGGGGTCCTGAGCTGACACTTTTCCTTTCACGAAACTCTTCATGTGATTTGTTCCGGGTATGGCCTGTAGGCAGAAGTGACCACTGCCAATGCAAGACCTAGACTTCAGGAGCTTTGTGGACTTGTGCTTGCATGCTCATACCTCACTTGTCATGGAAAGATTCTCTCAGGAGACAGGTAAGTCTGCACCATCCTGTACCCTAAAATGAATGCATAAAAAGGACAGCTGTAGACGAACCCGTATCAAAAATGTAAGTCCAACAGGACTTTCAGGTGGAATTGCCTAGCTGAGCCCAAAGTACATCAGAAGATTGTCAGTTGGCCTGCAGATATACAATCAGGAAGAAAATATTCTTTCATTAAATTACTGAATTTGAAGGTAATTTGTTTTACATCAAAAGCCAGCTGACGAACTATGTGTTTGTCCCACTCTCTGAGGTCATTGGGAAAGGAATCTGAAAAGGAGAGAGATATTTCAAGCCACACGGAGAAAATACCAGAAATTTCTGGGCATATGCCTTAGATTCTAATCTACTTGGATCGGGACAAATTTTCTATCCATCTTTGACACACTGATATCAGCCACCTAAAATTCTGTTAAGTTAGTCTTACTAAAAGTTGTTTGGCACATGTATTAGCATCACTTTCTGTCAGAAAAAGACTGGTGGGTTGAAATTGTCTCATCTCTTAAAATAGATTTCAGAGAAGAGATTTCAAATGAATCTATGAAAGGAAAAATACAGTTATGCATCATCTAAGCACTGCAATTGTTTCACAAAATATTCATTGACTACTATCCTGACATTCAATTAGACAGGTTCCATAAATCACATTAGTCTGTGTAATTATAAAAAATATTGTAAGGTAACTTGATACTTTCAAATTAGTAAGTGTGAGCCTAGACTGGGGTATACCCCATATCCAACTCTTGAGTAGCTAGGGTAAAAGGATCATGAATTCAAGGCCAACCTTGGCTACATAGGACAAGATCCTCCATCAAAACAGAAACAGAAACAAAGCCCCTCCTAGTGGAGGTGGGGGTGCGGGGTAGATGGATTCATCTGTAAAGTGCTGGCGATGTGAGCGTGGAGATTGGAGATCCCCAGCACTCAGGTTAAAAGCCACACCGAGCAGTGCACAGCTGCAGTTCCCAAGCCGGGGAGGCGATCCCTACCAGCCAGAGTAGCCAAGGCAGTGATTTACTGGCTCAGTGAGAGACACTACCTCAAAAAAGCAGAGAGGATAACAATTGAGGAAGACACCTGATTTCAACTTCTGGCTTCCACGTACCTGGGTACACATGTGTGGGCACACTCCTTCACACATGTGCACTCACACAGACACAACTAGATCACCTTCAATCTTTAATTACATTAGTGGGCGAATTAAGAATGGTTAAAGATTATGCTGAAGGCAACACAGGATGCATACAAAGACCATCTCATTATATTTTCCCCAAAACAATACTATATCTCCCAAGGGAAAAAAAATTTCCTATGAAACAATTCCATAAAGTGCTTCTTCCAAAAGGAAAGAGTTCCCAGGAAGACATTAAGTGATCTCTCTGAAAATGGTTCACTAGAGTATGAAAGAAAAGATGGAGAGAAGCCAATCTTTTATTATTTTGTCAGCATTAACCACTTACTGATTCTGCTGCTTAAGTCCCTGGAGGGACTCAATTATGACCAGAGCTTGTTGTCCCTATGTTTGAGCTGCAGTTTTTCTATTTCTGTCTTTCTCTGCCCCTCTTCTATTTCCTCCATTCACCTGCACAGCTGTATTAGCGTCCTTTTAATGGCGGCTTTGTGCATACACTACATGAGTGGAGCACTGTGCGGAACAGTCAGGAAGACCCCCCTGCCGCTGCCGTCGGAGGGCTGCACGGTGGCAGCCTGTGGGTTAGAGAATCATAAATGTGCCTAACACAGGAGTGTGGGCCACAGTAGAAAATTTCCAGGCTAATAAACAAAATAGATTTCTTGTGTGGCAGCCAAGAGAGAGAAAACATTGGGATTATTGCGAAGCGTTCTATATGAAGGACCATCCAGCCCCAAACCTTCCTTCCATTGACTACAGAAGGATAAAGGGGGGGACGAGAATGAAGTATGAAGCCTCTCTTTGAAATACTATTAAGTAAAAACTTGAGAACTCAGAATAAACCAATGAATTAAGTACATCTTACATTACTCACACGGTAGCCCCGAACAATTTTAATTATATCAGTGCAGATCCAATGTTGTTTTCTGATGATTCTTGCTTAGAGCAACTGTGCATTAAACACATTAAATATGCGAAAATGCTGGGTATTTGGGGGAGATTAATTTGAAATTTGTCATGTTGCTTTCCTCTGTTTTGACTCTGGCTATTCATTTACGTTTAGAAATAGTGCTTCAAGCATGGGTGAGTTCTTACAGTGTGCGGATAATTTGATCTGCAACTCTGTCTTAAATGTAAGATAATCCCATCTGTGCTACTTACAGGCTATTGATTGAAACTGGAACACCTAGGGCGAAAGGTGCCAATCAATCTTATAAAAAAGACACAGTGGGGTTGGGGTTGGGTCCTTCTCTCTTTGGAAATAATGACTGTTCTATCCCAATACAATCCCCTGTTTTGTCCTGATTCTGAAAGTGCCCGAGTATATTGTTTTTACTGTAAGCTGCCTCAAGTCTTCTCTGGGAATAAGAAGGGCAGAAATCCATAAATAGAGTCCAAGTGAGTCATGAATTAGTCAATAGAGAAACTGCCAAAGAACTGGGCTTATCTCTGCGACCAGAATGGGACTGCTGGCTAGAATTTGGGACAAAATACAAAACCACCCACTTCACCAACTAAAATAAGAAGTGGGCTAAGTTTTAACACCTGATAGTTGCTTAATCTAAAATCAAAAGAAGCCAATTACGCAGTTCTGGTATGGCACTCTTGACTCCTGCAATCTAGAGCCCGGAGCCGACTCCTAAAATGAGCTGGGTTTATTTTTCTCCTGCCTCTATCCTGCCTTCTGTCCTCAATCTTTGGCTCTCCAAGTGGGAAAGAAAAAAAGAGCCTGAACACAAACACGGCATGTGGCTCACCTTTGACTGGTCCTGGGCATTGGAAACTCCTGAACAGGGGTCCAAAGTCTCTTCATAGTCAGCTGTTGGTGATCACTGACAGCTCAGCAGTGCAGAGCTTCCGCCATACTCTGCCTTGGTGTAAGTTCTGTGAGGACATCCGGGGACTTCCAACAAGCTCAGTCAGCTGCTACCATCTGGACAGATACAGTTCTTAGGCTTTCATTCTCTCCTCTTTCTTTCTTCCTTCTTTCTATCCTTCCTTCCCTTCCTTCCCTACCCTTTCCTTCCTTGCTTCTCTCCCTCCCTCCCTCCCTCTCCCTCCCCCTCCCTCCCTCTCTCTCTCTCTGTCTCTGTCTCTCTCTCTCTCTCTGTCTCTCTCTCTCTCTCTCTCTCTCTCTCTCTCTCTCTCTCTCTCTCTCTCTCTTTCTTTCTTTCTAGTTTTCTCCATTTTCCACCTAAAAGATGCTATACAGAGATTATTGAGGCAGAAAAATGCATGTACATTATCTCTGTTACCTATATACCCAAAATAAAGAATTAGAGATTCACTTCTCTAGACTTTGACCTTGGAAGTAAAGTCAGACCACATAGACCACAGCTTTTATATACACTACAGAAGTCACTAGTCATATAGTGGCACGTGCCTTTGATCCCAGCACTTCGGATGCAGGGACAAGCAGATCTCTGTGATTTGACTCCAGCCTGGTCTACAGAGTGAGTTCCAGGACAGGCAGAGGGCTACATCGTGAGACCCTACCTGGGGGTGGGGGTGGGGGGCAAGTGGGGGAGAAAAAAGAAGTCATTAGTCACTAATCACTTACTACTAATAATTAGCCTTTATTCTAAGTTTTAAATTTTATGTTTGGTTAATTTTACATTTTAAAATAAGTAATGTGAATCTATGCATTTATTAATTTCAACTTTTTAACTTTAATAATATCCCATTTTCCTTTAACCTTTGTATTATACAAGATACAATCGCTATGCTGTAGTACCCATGTCTGTCACTAACACCGTTTCTGGTGTACACATAAGCACATGATGTTCCTAACAAGGAGGAATGGATAATCCAAATGAAATGTTTTCAGTCACCTCTATTCTCAGAATGAGCAGGTGTAATGTTCATATTGCAATATTTTAGAGCATACCGGATAGCATTGATTGATATTTCTAAAACAAAAGGCAAGCATGGGACTTGAGCAAAATCACAAGACTGCTTTTATGTTGTAAAAAGTGTATAAATGAAAAGGAGGCCATGTATTTGAAGGAGAGCAGGGATGTGTTGTTGGAAGACTTGGAGGGAGGAAAGGGAAGGGGGAAACGTAATTAAATTACAATCTCAAAAATAAACATATAATTAGTGGAAAAATTAAGAGACTTTTCAGCAAATACATTGTAGAATTGATAAGAATTTTCTTCTAACCAGTCAAAACATTTGTTGAAATTAGTTTTTCTGGTATCTGAATAGAATTACTGTTATATTTTTTAGTTATTTTTCAAAGACTCTATAGCTCTAGCAAGTTATATATCTGTTTGGTACTTAGGCAAAAAAGAAAAAAAATTTTAGTTTGGTTTTTCGAGACAGGGTTTCTCTGTGTAGGTTTTTGGTGCCTGTCCTGGATCTCACTCTGTAGACCAGGCTGGCCTTGAACTCACAGAGATCTGCCTGGCTCTGCCTCCCGAGTGCTGGGATTAAAGGCGTGCGGCGCCGCTGCCGCTGCCACCACCACCACCACCACCACACAGCGAAAATTATTTTTAAGTGAAGATATGGCAAATTGTTCAATTACTGAGATTTTATCAGAAAATCATGAGGAAATGACTTTTAACAATACTTTACAAAAAAGGGAAATAGCTTCTTTAAAAAGCTATCGATGATTGTGAATAAAATCTAATTACTTTTCTAACATTAGAAAAAATTAACTCTAAATTTAAAAAAATTCAGGCTGGGAAAATCCCTCGTCAGGTGAAGCATTCGGGACTCAAGTATGAGGATGTGAGCTCGGGGCAGGAGAGGTTGATCTTAGCTCCGAATCCCAGGTTACAGAGCAGTCAAGGCAGCAGGACGGGGTCAGTCACAACCACGGTCAAGAGCAGAGAACAGTGAAGGTAAGCAGTTTACTATTCAGCTCCCTTCTCTAATCTACACAATCCAAGAACACAAGCCCAGGGAATGGCACCCCCCACCAGAGGCTGGGTCCTTCCACATCAATGAACCTCATCAAAACACCCCATACACACATGTACACACACACACACACAAAGCTCACAGATCAACAGTCCCTCACTGAGACTTTCTTCCAAAGTAATTCTGGATTGTGCCAAATTGACAAAACTACCATCACATGATACAAACACAAGAACCTCGGTTTAGATCTCTGGCATCAAAAAAAAAAAAAAAAAAAAAAAAAAAAAGAGCGAGGCCTGGTAGCAGCTCCCTGTGATCCTAGCAATGGGTAGAGGGGATCGAGAAGATTCCGAGCTTGCTGCTCAGTTAGTCTAGCTAAACTGTTGAGTTTTGGGTTCAGTGAGAGACACTGTCTCACACAAGCTGGAGAGCAATAGAGGAAGATGTTCAACGTCAACCTGTAGCCACCATGTTCAAAAACACATGTACACACATACTCTACACACACAAAGAGAATGAAAACTTATTTGGAATCAAGCAGTAAAACACTTACATAGTAAACGTGGTATGATAATTTTCCATAACCATTTTGTAATTTTCTAGTGTGAATCAATATAGCAAAATTTGTAACTATAATCAACCATTAACATAAATTTCTGCCAGACCAAAAAAAAAATCACATTTTGTTGATTTTACTAACTTTGAAGATACTTTTCAATTTGTACAATACTTTAATGGCAAAAAAATTCCATTAGACGTTGATGGGAATGGTAGCAAACACCTGCATGTAATACCAGCATAGGGGAGCGTTGAGTGGTGAGGATCACTGCGGGTTTGAGACCAGCTTGAATTACGTAGTGTGGCCCTGAATTAAAAAATAAAAATGAGGGCCAGTGAGATGGCTCAGCAGGGGCTTGCCACCAAGCCTGAGGACCTGAGTTACATCACTAGACCCCATACGGGGGAAGGAGAAAACCAAGTACCACAAATTGTCCTCTAACACCTATAAATACATGATAGCATGTGAGTACATGCACACACACACACACACTAAATAAAACATAATAAGAAATTAAAAAATAAAAATAAATAAAAAAGAGCATGAAAACTAACCAGGACCAAGATAGCACAAGCTAATGAGTCTCCTTAATTTGCACATAGTTTTGAAATTATGACAAATAAGTTCTTCTAAAAGATAAACCAATTTTGACATATGACCGCAAATATTAAACGAGAGTGACCGGCCACTGGAGACCTTACATGTATTCCTATAGTTATTCCAGCATGTGAAAAACATTTCCAACTGTTCCTTTTATGAGATCTAAATATGGATCAAGGATTTCTGATGGAAATTTAGCATCCACTTTGTGACAGGCTGTAAATAGAAGCTGTTCGCCAGATTTTAAAGACTTCGTATGAAAACAGGGTGAACAATATCCATAGTGTCTTATGTTGATTTCAAACTGAAATGACAGTTCTGATGCACTTAGCTAAATAACATCTTTAAGTGAACTTCACAAGTCATTTGTCTATACTGACAAATATGAAAGTTTCCAGTTAACAAGTAAATGATAAAGAAATCGGCAAATATCCCACACAGAATTCCAAATTTTCTATGATTTTGCTTTTCTTAACCCTGACCTCAAGGAGGTACAGCCCAACTTCTCACCCTATAAGCTTTCCTTCCAAAGAGAGCAATGTAAAAAAGGATGGGGTAGTGACCTCACCCTGAAGAAACCTGGAGTACACCACTTCACCGAGATGATGAATGTTAGCACTATCAGAAATTGGGGAGGTCTAAGGTTTGATTCGTGCTGACGTAAATTACTCCGTGACACTGAGCAGGTTGGGTACTTCAAAATACAGTAGTGGATGGGGGATGCAGGTATTCCCATTCCAAAAGGGAAAATAGAAAAGAACGGATATGGGGCTGGAGAGATGGCTCAGCAGTTAAAAGCACATGTTGCTCTTGCAAAGGACTGAGTTCAATTCCCAGAACCCATATGGAGGCTCACAACTGTTAGGAACTCCAGTATCAGGGGATCCAATGTCCTCTTCTGACCGCCTTGGGCAGTAGCCACATACGCGGTACACATACATACATGCAGGCAAAACACTCACACATGTAAAATAAATAAATCTTAAAGAAGAAAGAAAAGAACAGATAACAAGTTCTAAATAAGTCTGAAATTCAACAGGCAAAGTAACTCGTGAGGTTTAAAAATAATTGTCTTTAACTTGAGGGATAAAGTTACATATACACCAAAGTGGGGAGTGGGCCCTAAGATCTTAGACAGTTCTACCCCCAAATCTTTGCTAGGTACAGTTTGCAACACAGTTCTCACTGCCTGTAACTCTCATGGGTTGCAATCACTCAGTCGTAAGCCTACTTGGGATCTTAGGGGTGGCAATACACCCAGATCTCCATTAGGCACTGTCTTAGCATGAGGTCTCGGAAATGGCAAGTCCCCACTGTGGATTTTTCACATGAATTATGTGTCCAGGGTTCTAGGCATCCCTGTAAGCCGTACCTCCACGGCCCATGCTTTGCATGCCAGTGGCACCCCCATATGCTGCCAAGCTTTAGTAGTGTACCCTCTGAAGAAATGGCTGCCATGCCAGTACTCTACACGAGTCAGACTGTGGGGAACAGAGCTGGAGAAAACTGGGGCTCCTCCTTTGAAGTCATCTTGTCCCCAAATTCTCTGAACTCTTGCCCCTGAGAATAACCTATGATCTTCCAAATGCCTTCCGGGCCATACAAACTTCCATTGTGTTGATGAAAAGCACATGGCAAATGCTGCTAATTTCTCTATCAAAGAGCATCCTGACCCTTTGTGTTATCTCTTGAACACGCTTTCTCCTCCTGTCAACAAGGACAGGCTGAGAATTTCCAAACCTCTAAAGTCTGCTTCTGTTTTGATTAGAAGTTTGCACATCTTACTATAAACATTCATCAGAAGCTGAGCTGCCCCCTGGTTCTTCTCACTGAGGCATCTCCATCCAAACCCTGCTGCATCGTGCGTCGATACCTTTCTGACAAGCACAAGGCCATGAAAACAATCCCTCTATGTTCTTTGCCGCTTCATTACAAGCGTTATCTTTCCTCCACC